AGTGTCTGACTTCTGTGTCTTCAGCAGCTGAAAAAGGCATCACATGATTAAACATTAACATATTAAAATTTCTCAACATCTCTGATGCACAATATAACTTCATTTTCTATGGTAATGATAAGCTTTTCCCAAGGGCTTCTGGGAGTTGTAGTTCAGTGTAATCTACCCAACACATTAGATCTACCAAGTGTGAGTGACAATTTAAGACCTCAGGTCTTGGTTGCATTGCAGATGTACCGTTCATTCTAAACTGGTTATTTCAAAAACGACTTTTTTCTGCACACGCATAATTATAGAGAGATAGGTCATAGGCACAGCTAGTATTTTTGTGTTGAATACTTACGCCACCTACTGGCATGCTCTTAATATTGCAGGAAATTCTTTTAATTGTTCATTGGGATGTAGAGGAATACATCTAATGAAAAGGAGCACACAGTTAAAGATTTCTCATGTCACTAACAAATCATTTACATCGTATTCACATGTTAAAGCTGCATGCACTTCTTTTCACTAATCTCTAGGCACTCGAAGGTCTTGATAGGTGAACAGAGTCAATTTAGTAAAGTGCACACGAGTTATATTAACCTACTGAGTCGGTGGACAAACTGAAAGTGTTAATAAGGGAATACACATAGTAGCATGTTTAAAGAACATTTGTCATTGAATTTTTACTCTTTTAAATGTTTACTACATTTAATTAAACGTAATAATTTTTATTATAAAGTGTATTTATTTACTCTGAGAAAATGTCACATTTTATCTGGCTGAGCGACCATGTTTGGTCAAAATATATCTATCTGACAAACTGCTGCTTAACCTAACTATGATAGCTGAATCTGCTGTGAACCTGCAGCAGCAGGCAACTTTGGTAGATCAGATAATATTTCTCACAGTCTGACAGTCCTTTTGGTGCTTTTTTTTAAATTCCAAGTGGGCTTTCAAGTGCCTTCAATCTTCCATAAAGGCCAGACCAATGAAGTGTTTTAGTGACAGCTGTTCGAGCTATCCTATCTCTAAACATGACCTCTGGAAATTACCCAGAGTGACCACCGGATCCTTGGACACCTCTTACAAAGGCCCTTCTCCCCAGATTGCTCAGCTCTAGGACCTCTTTAGTTGTTCCGAACATTTTCCATTTAAAAACTCTGATGGCTACTGTGTTCTGTAACCGTCAATGCAGCCACAAATGTTTGTAGCGATCACCAGATCTGATCCTCGCCCGAGTTCCTTTGTACTTACAGCGTGATTTTAGCTCTGCTCTGAAATTACAGCTCAGACCTTTTAAAGACAGCTATGTGTCTTTCCAAATGATGTGGACTCCAATCAAAGTGTAGAAACATCTCAAACATGATCCAGAAAGATGCGATGCATCAGAGCTAAACTTCAAGTGCTGTAGCAAAGGGTCTGAATACTTATGTCAATGTGAGGTTTCAAGATTTTCTTTTTAATCAATTTTCAAAGAATTTAAAATAATTTCCCCCCCCCCCCTTTCTTTGTCACTATGGTATAAGGGGAGTGTAGATTGATGTGGAAAACACATGAATTGAAACATTTTTAGCATTAATTTAAACATTAAAAAATGTGTGAAAAATGAAGGGGTCTGAATGCTTTCTGCAGTAACATTACTGATCACTGTATGAAGACACATATATTCTCCATGCTGCCAGCCAAAAGTCCAAGACTAATTGGCTGCTTCACGAGGAAAGAAGGACTTTTAGGGATTCATCTAAATAGCATTGGACAGTGCTTGCATTCCCTCTACATTCCTGTGATACCTACTGGAGCATTGTCAGTCCTGAGGGCATGAAGCCCAGTCCTCAAGCAACTGATTATATTTGTGGAGTCCATTTCATTCCCCCAGTGAACCAATGGCGATTACTCCTGTCTACATACAATATAATCATATGCATCTCTGCTTCGTTTCTGGGGCCATAAATTTGGTGCATGCTTGAAACCAGAAAAGTGCAGAAGGATAGAGGAGCAAGACCTAAATTCTGGTCTTATTGCTGTATTGTATTGGGACAAGGTTACTACATCCAATACTCTGCAGGCAGCAAACAACTTGAGGTATATTCCGCTAATCCACCTTCATTTCTAAAGAGACCAGACGAGATAGCAGAGATGTTGGATGTAACGGCACCCTTAGCATCAAATAGTCAAAACCGCCGTTTAGTTAATCCTCCCCGCTCGCAGTACTGTAAACTCCATTCGTATAGACTCCAATCGTATGAACTGCAAGCAGGGGAATGCGCCAACCTCCCGAACGGGATCTGTACAGATACTCCAGCTCTCGAGCGGTAAACCCACGAATCGCTGCTAACAGCCGAATCAATATATCATCCAAGCGGCTTACGGTTCCGGCAATCAGTCGCTAACCGTATGTAGTAAATCCCCTCAATAACGAGACCAAGCTCCGCATTGAGGGTAAAACAAGAACTGGGTTTACTGTGGGCTACCCGCCTGTATTTATGCAGGTCTCCCACTTGGTGGACACTCCCCTAGGGGACCAAATGGGAGACTGTAATGGCAGATGGACATACAGCATTTCAGGACACACAGGTACATAATATTCCCAGCATGCATCATGGTTTCCTCCCCTCTGCCCTGAAGATAATTGAGAAGTAATTCAATTATCTCCCAGGACAGAGGTAAATCGCCATTTTAGATGCGACCCAAAAAACACATAAAAATATATAATTTTACAAGTACCGAACATTTCCCATTCGTGTAACGTATCCCCAGATAGCCTGGATCTGAGTGCATATTATTGGCGAATAGCGCTCAGATCCCATACGCACAGTTCAATCGCCATGGAGTCAAAGTCTGGTACAGTCTTTCGGTATGCGATTGACTCCATGGGAAGGCTATCTGGGTTAAGTCCCTTTGTGCGGCTCAAACTCCCAACGGCCGGTGTTCGCATGCCTTTGTCGATGGAGAAGGGAGGTCAGTGGTTTTAGCGCTGTTCAGCAGAAAAAGTGTCCGTTTTCAGTTCCATAGAATCTGTGCCGAACACCGCTGGTTTTAAAATGGCCGCCGCCTCGTGGTCGACATACAAACGACGACCACCCTGTATTCGGTTATAATTGAGAGGTGTAACGGAGCTCCTTGTACTCCGACTGAGTACCCTCCGTTGACGGATGCTCCTAGCGCTTCCTGAGGACTCCAAGCGCTGCAGAAGACACCACAACCACCGCAGACTCCGCAACCGCCGTATCTTGACTGGAGTCTCGCCGTCTTCCTTCCACCCTGGATCAGCTTCTGTCCTCCAGGACTGTGTGGGAAAGAACTCTTCCTTCCACCCTGTATGAACCTCCAGCATCCAGGACTGTGTGGTGAAGACCCCTCCTCCAAGGAGAGCGTGTCAGGAACAAGCTCTTAAAAGAGCTAAGTGACTCAAGCTCAGGGGAGCATGCAGAGCATAGCAATCCCCAGTGTGATTATAACAGCTCCCTCCAATAACGAGACAAGGCTACGTTTAGAGGGATCAAGAAGAACTGTTGTAACGATCGCCTGGCACCCGACTGGGTACCTCCGTTAAAGGATGCTCCTAGCGCTTCCTGAGGACTCCAAGCACTGCAGCAGACACCACAACCACCGAACCGAGAGCATATGAATCTCTCAAGCATATGAATGCTGTAGACAGTTGAATAGGAACCATACGAATAGGTTTACTCTCCTAGCAGTCAAACTGGAACAGCATACAATAAATCCTTCCCCCAATAATGAGACGACACTTCACTTTGAGGGTTAAGCAGGAACTCCCTGTACTGTCACATACAGTCTCTTTTATTCCCAATCCACAAACATAGTACAGCCCACAGGGCGTTACAAAACAACCAATCAATCCGTACAATACACCCAGACACTCCCACACAAAATCCTCCCCTCTGCATGTGATATGATTACTGAACACAATGGGTAATCTCATTATCACCGGCAGAGGAATACAGTTTTTACACAATATTTATAACTTCTAAAATATACATGTCACAAACATAAAACATACATTTTCATAATCAATCCATTCAGGGGAACAACATATTAAAAAATGGCACGAATCAGACCAGGGGTTCAAAAGTTAAGGGAAAGTCCTTTGTGACTAAATGAAGCATGGCTTTCTGGCCCAAACCAGTTTCAGAGTCTTCTATCCTGGAGATAAGTAATTCAATTATCTCCCAGGACAGACACAAGACTCCATTAAGCACATGGTTGCAAAAAGACACAAAACACTTTAAAATACATAAAGTCACATTTATACATAAAACACAGACATTTCACATATCCCCAGATAGCTCAGGTCTGAGCGCACATTATTAAGTGAATGGCGCTCAGACCACACGAATACAGTTTAATCGCCATGGAGCCAAAGTCTTACAGTCAGTTTCATACGAATGGGCTCCATGGGATTCCTATCTGGGGTATAACACATTCACATAAAGTCTGGTCCATAGTCCAAAGGCAAGAGGCGGGCAAGCAGCCCCCTCCAAGACATCAGCGAGGCCGGTTTCGCCACAACTGTCAAAACCTTTATTCCCTTGGGACCAGCCAATACAGTCACCACAATAACATTGTTGTGAAACCTCAATAAAATCACACAAACAGTCAAACCATATCAAGAAACACACAGTGACTTATCACAACACAATGGCACATTTTTAAAGGGGTGGGGGGAGACAATATTTAACAGTAAATATCTCACCTGCCTGCAGAATTAGCAATATGCAAATCTACCCGAATATGCAAATGAACCAGTCTTGCAATTCAGGTAGTGCATATTGCTGTTGCTACCAACAGAGGGCACTAGACCAGCTCCATAGCCAAACCCACCTAGTTGGTAGCAAACCTCAGCAATACAAGAGAGCAGGCAATACATTTCACAGTACACACACACACACTATAAACAATTACATTACACACACCCTGCACCTATAATGGGTACAGGGTGACTAAAACATAGGATAAATAAAGCAGCCTACATAAATAGTCTGTCTGAAGGTAGACTAGGGGCTTTAAAGCCAGATACGTGAAAGAGTCATAAGAGGTGTCTGCGGTTAACCACAACGTTCTAATTGGGATCAAGAGGTTAACCAGCAGCTCACTTCTCTTCTGGGTGGCCGTCCGTTCGGTAAGTTCATTCGGTAGAAAAGTCAAATAAACGAACAGGGGCATACAGACAGGTAATTCCACGAAAAGAGGCAAAACAGACGAACCAGCAATCTTAGTCTATACAGATGGATCTGTCACATTGGGTTAGGTGTTTGCCCAAGTACCAACAAAAACTGCGTTTGTTGAAGCCGTAGTCAACTAACAGTATAGCGCCCAGGCTGGGAGGCAGTGTTCCTGTTCACTTATACTCCTAGGGGCGGGTGGGTGGCTGCATACAACTTTTAGAACTGGGCTACATGGCTACTGGACAGATGGTCTGCTACGGCACCGCTAATAGGGAGCATGTAGGAGCTCCCCTGATTGGGAAATGGATAAGAGAATGGAGCTAGCTTACTGGACTATCACTGTGCTATATGAAACTCAGTCGTAACTGACTGTCTCACATTAGTTACCCATCAGCATTCGGTTTGCGATGCTCATTTCTCTTCTTCTACCAACGGGTGGCACTATAAATAACATTTTTTCTTTCTATTTAAGTCCTATGAACCAGCTATCTACGTTTGCTTACTTTAACTAGAGAAAAGTAGTTTTAATATTTGGTTTTAACATATTGTCTAGCATTTTGCATGTACCACCAAAAAATTATCAATGAAGTAAACATGAGATAAACAGTATTTAGTGGGTCCAATACAACAAAAACAGAAATGCAAAAAATCCTGAATACTACTAATGTAATGTGTAAAAAAAAAAAAAGTATAAAAAAAGAAATACACCCCAAAATATAGGTGTTACAATTCAATATTTGAGGTGATAGAAGTGACCAAACAGAATAAACATCACGCTCTTTACACCCACGCACTCTGAATCCCCTGGTCACATCAACGTCAAGCTGCCATCTGACAGCCAGTCCTGGTCGCAGTTACCTGTGGGTAATCTGTAGGGAGAATGGGAGTCCCTGCCTTCCAGATAGAAGTAATTTCCTCTTCAAGCACTGTAAGAGGTCTACAAACAATGCATTCATTAAAATCAGACAATTTAATTGGGTTTTTACCATTTAAACATACTGATATGCATTTTTAATGATGAAACAATTTGGCTCCCATTAATCCTTCAGCTTTACATTAAATGTTTCTGTTCAGAGAATGACCTGTCAAAACACGAATTGTAATAAAAAATTTATTATCATTTGATAGTTGTATAAAATAAAGTGACATATGGTATATAACACATCCTGTTAGCAGAAAAGGTTTGGTGAGCATAAACACATAGAACATTGGCAGTGTGAGACAGACCTGAGACAGAGGTCGCCACAAAGGCGGACGCAATAAACGTAGCTGGTCCCGTGACATTTTTGACATTAAGTATATGCCAATGTTTTAGAAGGTGGTTCAGGACAAAAACATGCACATGATATTTGGAATACGAGCTGTATTCATTATTAAATATAAATTTAGTTTTGTAAAATACAGTAATTATACTGCGAGTAAGGGTGTATCCACTGGTTTATTGTGTGACGATTGTTGTGGAATGTCTAATTTCCCGTCACTTGGAAAATCGGCCCCCGTAAAATAACGGAAAGGGGCTTATTCTCTACAGGCCGTTCAGGCGAAATAATAATACAAAGTTATGATTTGTAAAAGTGTCAGTGGGGGGGGAGAGGGGTTTGGAACTGTTGGCATAATACCAGGTTAAGGAATAAAGGGTCCCTACAAGCTTGCACCCCTGAATCAGAAATGCTTTATCAATCAGAGATAGCTTGGTAAAAAGAACCCCAATAACATGTACCATGTACTATGTTAAGGAATAAGCTCCATAGATTTCCTGATTGAACAGAAACCAGTGAGAACCTCTGTAGTACATTGGGTTTAAAATAAGTGGACACTCCGGAATTCTCTCACTCAGTGAGAGTAACTCTTTGGGAAAGCAACCGAGCCGCAATAGTATCATAATACTATCAGATATACAATATTTATCAGTTATAAAAAAATGTACATAAAAAAAATCTGGAAGACAAGAAGATTTCTGCAAAAAAATAAAGCATATTCGCATATTGCAAACACCATGTATCTAAGAGCTGGCTCGTTGTGGCAGTATTTACAGAACCATTATAAGCCAGGAATGCCAGGGAAAAGGTAGAGATTGCGGCACAGAGTACTGGAATATTCGGACATTTCTTTACAGCGATGGAATTCGGTGCCCGGAGCGTGTCCCTCCCGCTCTTTTATCAAAGCATTCACCTAAAAAAGACACCACAAGAGTCAGGATGTGCGACCCATTACACACATACATCAGCACATGACATTGACAAAGGGGCTTTCATTTAAAAGCTAAACAGGGAAAGAACAGTGAATTCACTAGTTACATTCCCACGTCTAAGGCATTGCTTAACAATCACGATTAATTTGATAAAATCAGGAAACCAACAGTCTAATTGCTGCCAGAACCCAGCACTACAGCCATGTAAAACAGTCGTGATGTTACTAAAACCTTGGAGCTTAGTATGAAAGGAAGACACAAACTATTATTTAAAGAGCGCCAACATATTGCTTAGTGCTGTAAAATGGAATTAAGTAGTTGTGCGTGTACAGCATGGAGAATAAAAGATGAAGGATGAAGCTATATGGGATATTCAGGGTCAGAGCCGCAGTACCATTCATCCAGACACACTTTGGAGTGTAGAACTGATTTGCTGGGAGCTGTGATGAGTGACAACTAAAAATGTAGAGATTTTTTTTGCAACTTTGCAATTTTGGCCGAATGTTTTATATCATTTGTCAACTCATCACAGCTTACTGTTTAGCAGGCAGACCCAAATACAGCAGCAGTAGCAGAGGGTACATCATGGTTAAGTAATTGGAAAGTTGAGGTTGCATGGTGAAGGAAGAGGAACAACTACAAGACCAGAACTTGTTAGGAGCCATATATTACTCATGCATGCATTTATCACATTTGTGATGGCCGTTTATTTGTAGCCAATGAAAGGATACATATATGGAGTGTTTTTAAAATAAATATAACCCAGCTCCTAACTTCATCGATCCCTGGACTACACACAGAATGTAACGGATTATTACCTTCACCAACATGTCGGCCACATGTGTGTTCTTGGCATGCTGAGAAAAAACAGAGATAAGTGCTTCTACAAACCAGGATCCTCTCTTTGTATTCCGCAGAGAGACAGTCCCTGAGCCAGAGATAAGGAAAACATACAAAAAAAGTTAGAAAGGAAACAAAAATAATTCAAAATAATAGTAACAAGGTTTTTCTTATTTTTAAATTATTGTCTTTTTCTAAACTGATAAAATTACTTTGAGTAAGACAAACACAAAATTGGGAGGTGTGTATGCACAGTCCTTAATGGAACACTCTAAGTACCATAACTTTAGCTTAATGAAATGGGTGGTGTGTAGATCATGCTCACAGGCATCGAAAACTCTGAAATAATTTCATTTCCTCTATTTACAAAATATTTAATAATAATTTCAATAAACTTTACTGTTTTCACATTTAACTTTATTTTTCTTAAATTTAAACAGTTCTCGAGCTGGCAGGCGCTGCATTGATGGAGATGCGGAAATTCATTAAATTATATATGTATAAACATGCCTAAAGTAGATACAAAAATAAATAAATAAATAAGTGCATATTTAAAAAAAAAAAGAAAAAACCTTGCAAAATTTTTTTTTTAAAAATTTGCACTTCAGCTAAACAAATTTAGTAACTGTGGCACCAGTGGGCGGTAAGAAAATGTTACCATCAACAAAGATGCACCAGTGGGCGGTAAGTATTAAAAGATTGACTACCCCCGTTTTAAATAAAATAATAAAATAGAGATTCAATTGAAATATATGATTGATCTAATAGAATATATTGAAACCAACAAACTAATTGATAGATGGGAACAGGCTTCGTTTAATTGGTGCTCTATAAGCCTTTAAGGATGACTGGAAGTAACAGTGCCCCCTCACCTTTGAGGCATGCGTAAGCACAGATCATGTCAGACTGCTTTGGCAGTTTCACTTTCACCGACTCTTTTCCAGCGTCCATCTCTTCGCAGCCGGGAGAGGCAGACTGCTCCCTGCCATCTTGCTGATCAACTCCTCTGTCTGTCTCTTCTGTGATGGAAACGTGTTAAATTTATTCAGAACAGCAGGAAACATCACGGCTCTTCTGGGTTTTTTTTTTTATAAATAATCCCTAATTATACAAAAATAGCAACACCTAAAATAAATACCACCACCAGTGTCCTGTGCGGAGTAAATCATCCCTGAGAAACTGTGAGAGGTCTTTAAACTTTGATTTCCTCCTTATGTCTTAAAGAATATGGATTTATATCAAAAGTGGACGTGTACAATCACATTGAATTAACACATAGGCATATTAAAGGAATACTCCATTGGAATTCCTAACTGTTTAGTAGATGTACTCCCATAGAAAAGATGCATGTATTTTTTTTTCTTCTTTGGTGATATATGGAAATAAAAAATAAAATAAAAAGCATCTTGCAAAGGTTGTAGACCTACTGTCTGTAGCCACTGCAAGTTCTCCCCTCTTTAACCGACACAGATTTCAGTCTGAGACTGGAATTATTCATTGAGAAGCCAGTGTGCTGGAGCAATGAACGTGCACATGCGTCTTTCCAATTCTTCTCAATGAGTTCTAGTACAGCTGTTCACTGAGAAGGGGGAAAGAGGGTAAGTTCAAGCCCAGCACACCGGCCACTTTCGTTATTTCTGTGGAGCTAATGGAAGTGGAAGAAAACCGCCTCCTTAGCTGTGTAAGTGGCAGCCAGGGAGCAGTTTTCTGCCACCAGTTATAAAAGTGCCAATTTCTATAGAAATCACCACTTTTATATAATCTGTCAAAAAATTCCAGACTTCAGATACAGGAATCATTTAGACCCACAAAACACTTTAGCTTGCGGTTACCTACCCGACACTTTCTGTTTCACTTTCTGGATGCTACGTGTTGCAAAAGACACGAAAATGTTTATCAAGTATACTGAACAGAAATCAAGTTTGAGGTTAAAACTGCCATAAAACTATAGATAAGTTGGAGAAGGATTCCAAATTTGCTATTTTAGCCTGAATTTTGGCGCCTCAATTTGAATTTGCCATCAGAATTCTTTTCAGTTTAGTGAATAATCTTAATAGTGGGTGATCTAAGGTTAAGTTCTATGGACATCACACATGACAGAAGAAATAACGGTTCAGGCACTCCAGGATAACAAAAATAGCTGCTTTATTGGGGGCAAAACGGCAACGTTTTGACCCTACCGGGTCTTTATCAAGCTAGGTAGGATCGAAACGTTGCTGTTTTTGCCCCCAATAAAGCTGCTATTTTTGTTATCGTGGAGTGACTGAACCGTTATTTATTCTGCCATGTGTGACTGAACCGTTATTTATTCTGTATATCTTGGAAGGGAGGCCTGGCCAGCCCTGGCTTCAGAACACCTGGGTTAATTGGTGAGTGCGGTATCCAGTATATCTCTATCACACATGACAGGACTCCACAGTAGCCATGTCAAACATACTACATCGTATTTTTATAATTCAAAAGTATTTTTCCAGTTAGGTTAAATCGACCTATAATGTGCTTTGTGTATTTACAACTCCTAGTTTAGTGAATAAACCCTTAAACTACCTATTCAACCCACCCCTCCCCCAGTAGCCGCCTCTCTTTAAACAGGACTGACATGTTCGTGCATTTAGGAGTAAGAAGCCATTTAAAACAGCATTGGAAATAAATAGGTTACAGCTTTGGCTGGAAATGTATAAATTAACCATAAAAAGCCACAAATTCTGCAGCATCCATTGTTTGTACTGGCATATACAACAGAAATCTGAAAGGTTGTACAAACCAAAACGTTTGAATTGAGAGAGCACTGGCAGCAAAAACCTACAGAAAAAAAAATTATAAATTGAAAAAAACAACGTTTGTGCAGAGCTCACCTCCACGGCAGGCTTGTATAAAGAACATTTTAGGCTTGTTCTGTAAATGTGGGCAGTGAGCGTTGTCCAGAATTCTAAAAACATCCTGCAGCTATTAAACAAACACAAAGCGTTAGCAAATATCAAGGAAAACACCGTACAACAAATAAATACAATTCCTACTCGCACTTTAGTAATCAGTTACAGGCCGATCCCCACCACAATCCTTCCTCCCCCTGTTCCTCAGTTACAGGCCGCTCCCCACCACAATCCTTCCTCCCCCTGTTCCTCAGTTACAGGTCGCTCCCCACCACAATCCTTCCTCCCCCTGCTCTTCAGTTACAGGCCGCTCCCCACCACAATCCTTCCTCCCCCTGCTCTTCAGTTACAGGCCGCTTCCCACCACAATCCTTCCTCCCCCTGTTTCTCAGTTACAGGTCGCTCCCCACCACAATCCTTCCTCCCCCTGCTCTTCAGTTACAGGCCGCTCCCCACCTCAATCCTTCTTCCCCCTGCTCTTCAGTTACAGGCCGCTCCCCACCACAATCCTTCCTCCCCCTGCTCTTCAGTTACAGGCCGCCCCCCACCACAATCCTTCCTCCCCCTGCTCTTCAGTTACAGGCCGCTGCCCACCACAATCCTTTCTCCCCCTGCTCTTCAGTTACAGGCCGCTCCTCACCACAATCCTTCCTCCCCTTGCTCTTCAGTTACAGGCCGCTCCCCACCACAATCCTTCCTAGCCCTGCTCTTCAGTTACAGGCCGCTCCCCACCACAATGCTTCTTCCCCCTGCTCCTCAATTACAGGCCCACTCCCAACCATAACACTTCCTCCCCCAGGCTCCTCAGTAACAGGCCCACTCCCCACCACAATCCATCCACCCCCTGCTCCTCAATTACAGGCCCGCTCCCAACCACAACACTTCCTCCCCTCTGCTCCTCAGTTACAGGCCCGCTCCCCACCACAACGCTTCCTCCCCCCAGCTCCTCAGTTACAGGCCCACTCCCTACCACAATCCACAGGGAAAGGGGGGGAGAGAGATGGAGAGAGACACAGGGAAAGGGGGGAGGGAGGAGGGGAGAGACAGGGAAAGGGGGGAGGGAGAGAGATGGGGAGAGACACAGGGAAGAGGGAGGAGGGAAAGACACAGGGAAAGGGGGGAGGGAGAGAGATGGGGAGAGACACAGGGAAAGGGGGGAGGGAGAGAGATGGGGAGGAGGGGAGAGACACAGGGAAAGGGGGAGGGAGAGAGATGGGGAGGAAGGAGAGACACAGAGAAAGGGGGTGAAAGAGGAAGATGGGGAAGAGAGAGACAAAGAGGGAGAAATGAGAGAGACACACACAAGGGGAGGGGAAGAAAGAGGCAGAGGGGGGAGAGAGAGACTGGGAAGGAGAGGGGAGACATTGACACAGAGGGGAGAAAGAAACATACAGAGTGACTGGGGGAGACAAAAAGGCACACAGAGGGGCTGGAGATAAAGAGACACACATAGGGGCAGTATATATCACTGGTGGATGGAGGGGGGGGGGCAACGGGCCCCCCCCCCCAAAGCTTTCCCCTGCCGGCCGATCTCCCTCCCCGTTCCACAGGCACCGTGCAGCCAGTCGGCAGGGGAGGAAGAGAGGACCTGGGGCAACGCTCCGGCTCTCACGAGGGTGAACTCTAGCCCTGGAGCTACGGGCTAGAGTTCACTCTCACCACTTCCTGGTGGTCCCAGTAGTAGGAGTGAACTCTAGCCCCATACATACACTGCCCCACACACACATACACCATACACATTCACACACTGCCCCCACACACACACACACACCATACACATTTACACACTGCCCACCCACACACTGAACCTTTCACACACATTGCACCACTGCTCCTATACCCTACTACAGCCCCATATCCCAGCAGACTCCAGGTAAGTTGTCAAACTGTTCTTAAACGGTTTGACGACTTACTCTGGGAGGGGGTGCCGACGCTCCTGGCACCATAACCACTACACAGAGGAGTAGTGGTTATTGTGCATGGAATATTTCTTTAAATAATCTACAAGTGCCCCTCTTAGGCTCAGGCTCTGGATCCGCCACTAGTATATGACATGTATATTAATGTGTGTATTAGTTATATATATATATATATATATATATATATATATATATACCTATTATATTTACACATATGAATGTACATTTATAAATGCATAATACACAGAGAAATTTCATTAACCCCTTAAGGACCGAGGACGGTTCAGGACCGTCATCGGCATTTTTGCGTTGCCGACCGATGACGGTCCTGAACCGTCCTAACGGTCAGAGCTACTTACCTGATCGCCGTCGTTCCCCCGGCGGCGATCAGCGTGGCTCCGGTTGTGGGGAGACTGTCTGCAGCCCCACGGCAGATTAGGACCCCTGTGGCCATGTGATCGCTTAACACAGCGATCACATGGTCACAATAGGTGTCCATAGTGCTGCCTGCAGGGGGACTGCCTGTACTGACAGGCAGTCTCCCTGCTAGTGTAAAATCAGAAAAAAAATTAAAGTTAATGGTAATAAAAAAAATAATAATAATTATATATGTATAAATATGATATATAGACATATATTATATCTATATAATATATGTCTATATATCATATATATATAATGTCATACTAAGTGTATTTTAATATTAATATGTACTTATATTAATATAAAAATACACTTATAATTAAATTACACACGTATATATATAATATATATAATAACTATATATATTGTATATATATATTATTATAAAATATAAATAATAAGTAATTTAAATTAAATAAATTTTTTTTTAAATACTAATAAAAAATTTAAAAAAAATTATATACCTATATGAAATTTTATTCTAACTGTATTTTAAAATTAATATATATATATTTATATCAAAATACACTTAGAATGAATTTGTATATATATCTATGAATATAAAAATAAATAAAAATAATAAGAAATATACATACGTCCATATACAAAATTACATAAATAATTATATAAATATACACGTAGACTTCAAATATATAAATATGCATATATATTTAAATTCTACGTGCGTATTTATGTAATATTTTACATAATTCAGTAATTTTATTGATTGCAATTTGAGGGACCTGCCTGCCAACCCAGGCCGAAATTCCAGAGAATTTAATTTGCTAGCACTGTATTTTACCCTGTAAGGTTCTAAGACACCCTAAAACCTGTACATGGGGGTACTGTTTTACTCGGGAGACTTCGCTGAACACAAATATTAGTGATTCAAAACAGTAAAACATATCACAGTGATGATATTGTCAGTGAAAGTTACTTTTTTTGCATTTTTCACACACAAACAGCACTTTTACTGATGATATAATTGTTGCGATACGTTTTCCAGTTTTAAACACTAATATTTGTGTTCAGCGATGTCTCCCGAGTAAAACAGTACCCCCCATGTACAGGTTTTATAGCATTTTTGAAAGTTACAAGGTCAAATATATGGGTCAAATATTTTTACATTGAAAATGGCCAGGTTGGTTACGTTGCCTTTGAGAGCGTATGGTAGCCCAGGAATGAGAATTACCCCCATGATGGCATTCCATTTGCAAAAGAAGACAACCCAAGGTATTGCAAATGGGGTATGTCCAGTCTTTTTTAGTAACCACTTGGTCACAAACACTGGCCAAAATTAGCGTTCAATTTAGTTTTTTTACTTTTTTCACACACAAACAAATATGAATGCTTACTTTGGCCAGTGTTTTCGACTAAGTGGCTACTAAAAAGACTGGACATACCCCATATTGAATACCCTGGGTTGTCTACTTTAAAAAAAATATGTACATGTGGGGTGTTATTCAGAGATTTATGACAGATAATAGTGTTACAATGTCACTATTGATAAATTTTAAAAATGTATGTTTTGAAACCGCAATATCCTACTTGTACCTATAGCCCTATAACATGCAAAAAAAAGCAAAAAAGCACGTAAACACTAGGTATTTTTCAACTCAGGACAAAATTTTGAATCTATTTAGCAGTTTTTTTCATTCGCTTTTGTAGATGAGTAAAAGATTTTCAAGTAAAAGTCAAAAAACATGTATTTTTTTCAATTTTTCATCATATTTTTTTATTTTTTTTAAATTAAAATACATGAGATTATATAAATAATGGTATGTAAAGAAAGCCCCTTTTGTCCTGAAAAAACAATATATAATTTGTATGGGAACAGTAAATGAGAAAGCGGAAAATTACAGCCAAACACAAACACCACAAAAGTGTAAAAATATGCCTGGTCGCAAATGTACAACATCGCAAAAACAGTCCAGTCCTTAAGGGGTTAATATGTACCATATGTAATGAGCAGATATTGGCCCAGTCTTGTTGCTAGGTGCATACTCCAGCACAATAACATTTAAAGTGAAGAGCACACCCACAGGACTTCAAAATAAACATTTTTTACAGTTGTGCCCTACATACATTCACCATTTCAGTCCCATTAACAAGCTTTCCTTAATATGTCAAGGTAGTTGGACTGAAACATTGATTACATGCAAAGGCACGTCTGCTTAAAATAAATCTGCACTTTTGTTTATTTTGAAGCCTATGAGTGCGCTTTTTACGTTGAAGTACTTTTTAATTTTAAGTTATCTGTTCTAACTCTGTATCTGCACACTATGCTGGTGCGACGCATTATGGGGCTGGTAAATATTTTTTTTCCAGGGCTGCTTTTAATTCCCAGTCCGGCCCTGGTTACAGGCTGCTCCCACCACAATATTTCCTACCCCCTGCTCCTCAGTTACAATATACTCCCACCACAAGCCTGCATTTCGCCTACTCCTCATTTACAGGCCGCTCCACACCATAAGTCTGCTCAATTGTTGCGCAGCTCCCCACCACAAGCCTTTATCCCTACTGCTCCTCAGTTACTGGCCCACTCATCACCACAAGCCTTCATCCCCACTGCTCCCCAGCACAAGCCTTCATCCCCACTGCTCCTCAGTTACAGGCCACTCCGCACCACAAGCCTTCATCCACTCTCATGTGATTAATGGATTTAGGATGACATACATACCTGGACCAGCTGGCCATCAGTCCCATACACAGCACCATCAACCCCATGAGAAAGAAGGGCTACAATGCATGAATCCAGATCTGCATGCTCTGAAAGTTTGGAGAATGTGTCTAGTTTACAGAGCATGTCCTGAGGTAGGAGATAAAAGGAGATAACATTACACATGCAGCATGTATGCAGAGAGAGTTTCTAGAGCTGTTAGTATGTGTCTACTTTACAGGTTCTGCATTGTATTTAATGTATAGGTTATTAGAGTGCAGTATGGGAGTAATTTAAGCGGTTGGTTCACATGTACAATGACTTTAATGTAGGAGTTATTAGAGTGCTGTATGTGAGCCATTAAAGCAGTTAGTTCATGTGTACATTGTATTTAATATAGTGGTTATAGGAGTGCTGTATGTGAGCCATTACAGCAGTTAGTTCATGTGTACATTGTATTTAATGTAGGGGTTATAGGAGTGCTGTATGTGAGCCATTAAAGCAGTAGGTTCACATGTACATTGTATTTAATGTAGGGGTTATTAGAGTGCTGTATGTGAGCCATTAAAGCAGTTGGTTCATGTGTACATTGTATTTCGTGTAAGGGTTATTAGAGTGCTGTATGTGAGCCATTAAAGCAGTTAGTTCATGTGTACATTGTATTTAATGTAGGGGTTATTAGAATGCTGTATGTGAGCCATTAAAGCAGTTGGTTCATGTGTTCATTGTATTTAATGTAGGGGTTATTAGAGTGCTGTATGTGAGCCATTAAAGCAGTTGGTTCATGTGTACATTGTATTTAATGTAGGGGTTATTGGAGTGTTGTATGTGAGCCATTAAAGCAGTAGGTTCACATGTGCATTGTATTTAATGTAGGAGTTATTAGAGTGCTGTATGTGAGCCATTAAAGCAGTTGGTTCATGTGTACATTGTATTTAATGTAGCTGTTATTAGAGTTCTGTATGTGAGCCATTAAAGCAGTAGGTTCACGTGTGCATTGTATTTAATGTAGGAGTTATTAGAGTGCTGTATGTGAGCCATTAAAGCAGTAGGTTCACATGTACATTGTATTTAATGTAGGAGTTATTAGAGTGCTGTATGTGAGCCATTAAAGCAGTTATTTCATGTGTAAATTGTATTTAATATAGGGGTTATTAGAGTGCTGTATGTGAGCCATTAAAGCAGTTGGTTCATGTGTACATTGTATTTAATGTAGGGGTTATAGGAGTGCTGTATGTGAGCCATTAAAGCAGTTAGTTCATGTGTACATTGTATTTCGTGTAAGGGTTATTAGAGTGCTGTATGTAAGCCATTAAAGCAGTTAGTTCACGTGTACATTGTATTTAATGTAGGGGTTATTAGAGTGCTGTATGTGAGCCATTAAAGCAGTTAGTTCACGTGTACAATGTATTTAATGTAGGGGTTATAGGAGTGCTGTATGTGAGCCATTAAAGCAGTAGGTTCACATGTACTTTGTATTTAATGTAGGGGTTATAGGAGTGCTGTATGTGAGCCATTAAAGCAGTTAGTTCATGTGTACATTGTATTTCGTGTAAGGGTTATTAGAGTGCTGTATGTGAGCCATTAAAGCAGTTAGTTCATGTGTACATTGTATTTAATGTAGGGGTTATTAGAGTGCTGTATGTGAGCCATTAAAGCAGTTGGTTCATGTGTACATTGTATTTAATGTAGGAGTTATTAGAGTGCTGTATGTGAGCCATTAAAGCAGTTGGTTCACGTGTACATTGTATTTAATGTAGGAGTTATTAGAGTGCTGTATGTGAGCCATTAAAGCAGTTGGTTCACGTGTGCAATGTATTTAATGTAGGAGTTATTGGAGTGCTGTATGTGAGCCATTAAAGCAGTAGGTTCACATGTGCATTGTATTTAATGTAGGAGTTATTAGAGTGCTGTATGTGAGCCATTAAAGCAGTTGGTTCATGTGTGCATTGTATTTAATGTAGCTGTTATTAGAGTGCTGTATGTGAGCCATTAAAGCAGTAGGTTCACATGTACATTGTATTTAATGTAGGAGTTATTATAGTGCTGTATGTGAGCCTTTAAAGCAGTTGGTTCATGTGTACATTGTATTTAATGTAGGAGTTATTAGAGTGCTGTATGTGAGCCATTAAAGCAGTTAGTTCACGTGTGCAATGTATTTAATGTAGGGGTTATAGGAGTGCTGTATGTGAGCCATTAAAGCAGTTAGTTCATGTGTACATTGTATTTAATGTAGGAGTTATTAGAGTGCTGTATGTGAGCCATTAAAGCAGTTAGTTCACGTGTACATTGTATTTCGTGTAAGGGTTATTAGAGTGCTGTATGTAAGCCATTAAAGCAGTTAGTTCACGTGTGCAATGTATTTAATGTAGGAGTTATTAGAGTGCTGTATGTGAGCCATTAAAGCAGTTAGTTCACGTGTACAATGTATTTAATGTAGGGGTTATAGGAGTGCTGTATGTGAGCCATTAAAGCAGTTAGTTCATGTGTACATTGTATTTCGTGTAAGGGTTATTAGAGTGCTGTATGTAAGCCATTAAAGCAGTTAGTTCAGGTGTACATTGTATTTAATGTAGGGGTTATTAGAGTGCTGTATGTGAGCCATTAAAGCAGTTAGTTCACGTGTACAATGTATTTAATGTAGGGGTTATAGGAGTGCTGTATGTGAGCCATTAAAGCAGTAGGTTCACATGTACATTGTATTTAATGTAGGGGTTATAGGAGTGCTGTATGTGAGCCATTAAAGCAGTTAGTTCATGTGTACATTGTATTTCGTGTAAGGGTTATTAGAGTGCTGTATGTGAGCCATTAAAGCAGTTAGTTCATGTGTACATTGTATTTAATGTAGGGGTTATTAGAGTGCTGTATGTGAGCCATTAAAGCAGTTGGTTCATGTGTACATTGTATTTAATGTAGGAGTTATTAGAGTGCTGTATCTGAGCCATTAAAGCAGTTGGTTCACGTGTGCAATGTATTTAATGTAGGAGTTATTGGAGTGCTGTATGTGAGCCATTAAAGCAGTAGGTTCACATGTGCATTGTATTTAATGTAGGAGTTATTAGAGTGCTGTATGTGAGCCATTACAGCAGTTAGTTCATGTGTACATTGTATTTAATGTAGGAGTTATTAGAGTGCTGTATGTGAGCCATTAAAGCAGTTGGTTCACGTGTACATTGTATTTCGTGTAAGGGTTATTAGAGTGCTGTATGTGAGTAAAAAAACTTTGCAATAAAGACCTGCAGTTTCCAGTTTTGTTACCTGAGCGGTTAGATTATTGTGTGGGATAACTTTATAACCCAGACGGGAATATAGCTGCGTCAGAGAGGCCAAATCCACATCTCCCCCATGCCGAAAATCCAAGTCCGGAGTAGAAAACTTTGTGTTGCTGATGATTAAGGCGAGACCACGTGGACAAGAGGTAAGCTTGTACGCCTAATGCAGACAGAAAATTAGGTGCAATCTCTGTATTTATTTTTTATAAAAAGTTCATCACCTAAGCAGCAGTGATTTGGGACTGGTTTGAGGGAACACTGTATCATTATTTACTAAATGGTGAGAATATATCAAATGATATGCAGTTGTGTAGGATTTCATGGTAAACAATGGTTCTGTTACTGGTCTGTCATCATGTCAGACCTATGTTGCCCCTTGTTTTGCATAAGATGCCAGGAACCATAACCATCTTCCCCTAATGCAGGGGTTCACAACCTGTGTATACGTACTCGCAGGGGTACAATTCTGTGCCCTCGTGGTACACAAAAACAAATCAGTAATGGCAGTTCTGCCGCCGGTGCAAACCCACCACACAGGCTGGGAATTGCAGGTCCGTCGGGTGGCCCATGCACCTAGAGCCATTCAACGGACATCTAAGGGGCCCAGTCGTGCACTACATGCTTTAATAGATGGAGAGCTGGAAGGAAGTGGCAGCCGGTCACTTTCACCCAGCCCACTCAAACCAGCTGAAGCGAAGGTATAACAGCGAGCCACCCTCCAGCAAGAAAACTGAAGGGTGGCTAAAATTGTGACCTGAATGTTTGTGTTTTAAGTGTCTGTAGTGTTTGTATTTGCATGTGTGTCAGGGTGTATGTCTGAGTCTGTGTATCTGTACATCTGTAAGTTTGTCAGTGTTTGTATCAGTGTGTGTGTGTATCTGCAGTTGTGGCAGTGTTTGTATCTGTGTATCTGCATGTGTGTCAAGGTTTGTATGTGTGTCTGTACATCTGTATGCATGCCAGTGTGTGTATCTGTATGTGTCAGTGTTTATATTTGTGTATCTGCATGTGTGTCAGTGCGTGTACTAGTGTGTCTGTGCAGCTGTATGGTGTCAGTGTTTGCATCTGTGTGTGTATCTGCATGTGTGTCAGTGTTTGTATCTGTGCATCCGCATGTGTAGCAGTGTTTGCATCTGTGTATGTGGATGACTGTCGGTGTGTGTGTGTATGTAAATAAATGTATTTGTAATATATACATTATACTTAGTTGGAACAGAAGAGAAGCAGGGGGGGCCTGAGGTAAGGGAGCCTGGGACAGAGGAAGAGCAGGGAGATCTTGGGGCAGAAAAAGAGCGTTATAATAACAAACATTATGATAATATGAGGGTACAAATTATCGTAATAGGCTGCCAAGCGGTAGTCAGTTGAAAAAAAGTTTGGAACCACTGCCCTAATGCTTCATGTACATAGCATAATTCTAAAGGTAAAGCAGCGTCTGCAGGATAACATGGCATAAATGAGTCAGGGACAATGGCTGTTGCTTTACCCCTGCCAAACTGAGCTATACTTAGACATCAGCTCATAATTATATGTGATGAGTAAATTGCTCTCTGGGTATAAACTACTTATTCCATAAGATTAGAACCCATATATGAAAATGAGAGGCTTCTGGTTGGTGGAGTATCTTCCTGGAGAGGGAGGAATCTGCTTGAAGGTATAGTCAGATTTTCTAAGCTGTAAAATTTGTGGGTCTTTAAAATATGTTGTTTTTTTTGTTTTATTTATTTAAAACACTTAAACTCACAAATATAATACATAAAAAATGCAGCATAGTTTTGACCACTGTTTCCCTTTAGAGAACTGATAATCTCAGTCAGCCATAATGCCTTCACTTTAGAGACTTTCTGTATCGATTTTGAAATAGGAACGTATCGAGATTTACTGACCTCATTATGATGAGACAGGTAGAAATCAACACTGCAAAATGAAACCACGATCGGGCCATCTCCATCATCAATAGAATAGTCAGGGGATTCTGAAAGAAAACACAGGTTAACGTGAATATCGTCTTAGCGGTGACCCCTCCCACAAAACAAATAGAGCTGGAAGCTTCCATGATTAAATTGGTCTGTTTAGTCTGACTTTACTAGTCTTTAATCTTGCAGAGACTATTCACACGGAAACAAAGAACGTTTTATTCATATTCAGGTTGGTTGAGCAATCATGTCATCTATGCATATTCTAATTCTCTTCGTACAACACGGTTTATTGTATAAAAGTCAGAAAGATGAGAATACAGGTTTAGTTTACCTTACAAGTTTTGTCTTGCCAAGAATAATTGCCAATATAAAAAATTTAATTGGCTTTAATTGTTTACTTACAACTGACTATGTGAAACCTCAGCCACCATTATGTGTAATAAGATCAAATTCATTAACCAAAAAAGAAGTATACATTAGTGGAAAAATGGATTCCCCAGTGAAGAAAATATAAATGTTCTTTAAATATAGTAACATTAGTTCCTCAAGACAATTGGTAGTTTCACCAAACCAACAGTGTTCATTATTGTTTAAATGATCAAATATCTGAAATTTACATGGCAACACCTTCGCTCTTCCAAACTTGTTAATTTGAACTCCATTATTAGATTTATTTGAAGCTCAGTAATTGAATATATGACAAGAATGACAGACAGGAAAATACAGATGAAAGTTTTTGAAAGAATTAACGTTGCAGGCATGCTATTTCTGGCTAACTGACAATGTGTGCATCTACTACAGATATTAACTTAATCAATAGCACTTATTTTATTGACCTTGGATGGATGAACTGTGAGGGCTGCGTGTCTGGGTGGGTGATCAAACCTACAACTGTGAGAATTGAACCAGTACCACATATTCTCCAGTGAAATTTACAGAGACAAGGATAAGGAAATCAGCTAACTATAGTCCAAAACAGCTTTAAATGATAGAACTTCACACGTCCTATAAACTGACTGGATCTGGAACACAGCTCTCATTTAAAAGCTGCACAAAATTACAATTAAGAATACAACATCTTGTGTAGTTTCAATGAGGAAAACACGAATGGAACTATTTGCACAAGTTTATAAAATCTCCCAGGATCCTTATTTTAAATTTAGGGCATACCTTTACTCATAGTTCTTCACTAATACTGTTACAGGAGGGTGGTGCATGCTGGTCACAGGTAAAGGAGGCAATGTAACAAATTGTACCCGCAAATATTTACCTGTCCAGAGCATTCTTCTGACGCCTGTCTCGTGTACAGGGTATGGCAAGGTCTTCTGCTGCAACAAAAGAAAGATGTTATTATAAACAAAGCACGGTAAATGGATGTTAGGAGCTAGAACACAGAGATAAAAGACAAATCTATATTCCCATCTGTTGGCACAGGTTAAGGCATTAGAAACTGACTGAGAAAGAAGCATTGCCTTCCGTCTAATTTGGGTGATAGTAAAAGGGATATTTTTACCATTATTTCGTTCTAGTGCAGACAGATTGTGATTGCTAACCCTTTCACCCCCAGAAACAAATTGCAAGCACAATTAGAAAGCAGCAGGAAATTGAGCTAAGTATTCCAACTCTCAGTCAGCTAAAATATATTATAGAATTCAAGGTCGGAATTCTTTAAAAATACGCAAATGCTTAAAGAAACGACTGATGCAAAAAAATGCCATTCCAGACACAGGAGATTTAACTAATGCTTCCCTTTAAATAAAGGACTTGAAAAAAGCAGGGATCGTACACCTGTGAAAGCTGGGGGCAGGTATATATAGGTCCGATAAACAGATTTATTTAGTCTGTCCGTTATGCGAGGAATAAAACAAGAACATGAATGTTTAGATTGTGAGTTTGTTTGCACAGGGCTATCTTCACCAATTGATTCTGTTTGTCAAACATGTTTTGCTGTCTTGTTTAACTCTTGTACAGTGCTGCCTAATACGTTGGTGCTAGATAAATAATTGTATTTGTCATTGTAAATGTCTTATTGAGAGATTTGTAAAATACTACTGGCTTTTCTCCAAGCCAAAAGGGAGTGCAGAAAGCTTCAGCAGTTTTTAATCTGCTCTAGTTTGGACAGTTTTTGAATCTGCTGTGCAAATATTAAAGGAACACCATAGGGTCAGGAACGCAGACGTGTATTGCTGACCCTATAGTGTTAAAATCCCTATCTAGCCCCCAAAGATATAGTAAAATCTTACCTTATTTCCATTTTTATGCATGTCTGCCTCCTTGGCTGTCATTATCAGAAGAAATGATTTCAACCAGTCACAATGCTTTCCAATAGGAAAGCATTGGACTGGCTGAGATCAGTAATTTAGATGATCTCAGCCAAGGAGGCGGGTGAGGACGGAGCCAAACGCCATTCTGTCCAATCAGCATCTCCTCATAGAGACGCAGAAAGAGGAGACGCTGAGTGCCAGTGCTGCACACAATGCAGCACCTCTAGTGGCCGTCTGAGGAGTGGCCACTGGAGGTCTCCCTAGGTTGTAATGTAAACATTGCCTCTTTTCTGTGTTTGCAACAAAATGCCTGCAGGGACTGACTTCACTCAACAGAACAACTAAGCTGTAGTTGTTCTGGTGACTATAGTGTCCTTTTAAATATGTTGCTACTTTTAAGACCTAACCAATATTATTGTAAAAACTCAATTTTTGCAGCAATTCAATTGGTTTATTAATATTTCTTACAAAAAAAATATTCTTTTTTACTTTTTTTTCTCTCTCTAAGAACTTGCTATGAAGAACAGTGACTAATAGTTGCAAATCGAGGCCAACATTACTGGGACTCTAATTTATTAATTAGGAAATGATTAAATTAGTATACTCCATCACAAGCATTAGCAGAGTCTGATTACCTAGTTCTCATAACACTTTGGTGTATTTTTATATCCTTTGTCTATTTTTACACTTTATATTTAAGCTTTTACATCCTACACTGACTGGTGCCTTGTCAGAACTGGTTCACCATGCCTACCTTCAGCAGGCCCAACCTATATAGAGAAGGCATTTTATATCCACCAGCTTAGTATAATGGTGCGGTTTTTCTCAAAGGCTGGTACGACACCGAAGAACTTTATTCAATACATAATAAGTTACAATTGATGAATGTGTCGCCAGGCTAATCTGTGTCTCTTCCAGAAAAGATTGATGATTGCTATTGGATACTACAATCATTTACTATGGCTCTAAGATCAGTAGTGCAATTAGCTGCCATCTCTTCACCAGGTAAACAACGCACACAGACCCGGGCAACCAACCGATCTAAAAAAAATGTGACTCATCAGACCAAACAACCTTCTTTCTTTGTCTAATTCTGACGCTCACATCCCCATTAAAGGCGGTTTTGGCGGTGGGCACTCTGAAAGGTCTGGGACTATGCAGCCCCATACTCCAAACTCCATACACTGTTTTTCTGACACCTTTCTATTATGGCAGGCATTACGTTTTTCAGCAATTTGAGCTACCAGACGGGCTAGACTTCCCTCCCCACAAGTATCAATGAGCCTTGGGCGCCGATGACCCCAACGCCGGTTCACCAATTGTATTTCCTTGTACTAACCAAAGCATATATGGAAGACCCCACAAGACTTGCTGTTTTGGAGTTGTTCTTACCCAGTTACCCAACCGTTTCACTTGTCCATTTCTTCTGCTTTTAACACATGAAAAGAGCTGATTGGTTACTTGCTGTCTACTATATCCCGCCCCTTGACAGGTGCCATTGTAATGATATAATCAATGTTATTCACTTAACCTGTCAGTGGTTTTAATGTTGTGGCTGATCAGTATATATATTTTAATACAAATCAATGTATCTGTTATTTTCTTTTCTCTACGGATGGTGTTTAGTAATCGTTTGTGAATACAAAACTGGCTATTACAGTATTGTAGGCTACTGTGTGGCGCAAAGCTAAATAAACAGTGGAGGCTTTAAAGCAGTTAGCTCCAGTGTCCCTTAGAAAGCACTTGTCCCTGAAAGCACCAACATAAAACCAGAACCAGGTTTGGATTTATGTCATTATCCTATCAATGCTCTGACACAGGGCATCTGGACATGTTTGATGATGAAACCCACCTCTGGTGTGTCAAGAGAACATAGCTTATTTTCCAGTTCCTCAGCTAAATACTTCTGGCCAGTCTCTCGTAAAACATTGCAGAATTCAGAAAATGCTTTTGGCCCTCGTTTTGGTAGCATAGTCAGTAAAGCAATATTCTGATCATATTGCACTGGAAAAGCCTGAAAGGTAAATGAAAACGCTAAGGTAAGTAAAGCACTTGAACTGTTACACATGTATGTTAAGAAAACGTCACTTAAAACTAAGTGATCTTACTATTCCCCTTACCTTGATTCTGGCATACATTACATTTGTCAAGATTTCTTTTTCCACAAGATGCTCCAGCACTTCGTCGGGCTCCATATTATTTGATAGAAAAATCCGTGACTTCAACAAAACCTGTCTGTGGCAGTCCTTCATCCCTCCCACCATCCTTGGGAGAGAGAACACAACGCAGTCACAACGGTACTCAACGCAAGGGCACACATTTTCATTTGCAAAGTTAAGCTAACTAGATAAAAAATAAAAAATGTTTGAAAACAAACTGTTATTACAGAAAATCTGCAGAAATGTTTAGCTAGTTTCTCAAAAATATCTACCGGCTGCAACCAAACCAAAACACAAACTGAAACCATGTACGAGTCACTGAAAGGGTACAATACTCTCTAAAATAGTCTAGTAACAAGTGCAGGGGGCGGAGAAGTAGATTTCTGTTTTACCTTAAGATACACAGAAGACTGATATATCTATTAAATGGTATCTAGTGTGTCGAACGTCCAGGAGAATTAAGCAATATTCATGTGATATCGCAGACTTTAACAGGTTAATTAGAGGAGTTTTATCAGGAGGGAATGTAGGAATTTTCCCAATCCCCTGTCCATTCTACATACAGATTGAATATAACTGAATTACAGCTTCCTGTGCCAGGACAGGTAAACATGTAACCTTGAGTATTGTATCATTTGTACTTCCCAGGACAGAAATATCAGCACTTTGCAAATGAAATAAGTAAGCAAAGCGGAAGTGGTTTGGAGAAATAGAACAAAACAAGAGACAGCTTGACGCGGAGGGAGAGAGTGAAACGAGCCAACACAAAGCAGATGTATGATCAAAAGAGGGGGTGTTAAACACAGACCTTCAGGAAGACACAATGGCGGATTTGTACGCTGAGTGTACAGGGATTACAATAAAAACGGCCCATCCAGCTGCACCCTCAGCTAAGCATCTGTTAGACATCCAGTAAACTCTTACCAGAATCAAACACACTATTTACAAAACAAGGGGATTTATTTCAGTGACCTATACATATCCATCAGCTAACACATTATTAATGTTATGGGGATTCCACAATGACATGGTTTGTAATAAATGAGTTAAAGGGTTAATACACAGCAGCCAAGGAACTAAGCAATGACTAAGAAAAAGAGGGTGTGAGGGGGGACGAAGCTGGCCAATCCTCGAACACGAGATGAAAACAGAATAGCTGTACGAGAAAGACGCACGTGGTTTGTTTTTTGTTTTGTTATGGATTTCAATTTATCATCACCCTCTGCAGCCATTTAACATGTAACACAAGACCAGAAAAATAAAACATTTTGGTTGCTGTTGAGAATAATTTACATGTGATGTTAAAGTAATGATCCAAGAACCAAAACACAAATTAATCTGGAAATCAACATCTTACGTAATGACTAAATACACACTGTTGTACTTGATTATTATTATTTTTTTTTTATTATTTATATAGCGCCAACAAATTCCGTAGCGCTGTACAATGGGATGCCATGGAGGTCGAACTCAGCTGTTCTACAGTAGAAAACAGTCAATTCAACTACAACTCCCAGCAATCATAGGATAAGTTTAGCCGTGTTAAAGTGACATTATAACAATAGAAATACAAACATGTATTAATAACAATATAGTGTCCTGCTACCTACTTAGATCCTCCCTAAGTGAAGTAATAAGAACATTGTACTTACCTTTACTTTAACCCCTTCAGAAAGGAGTCAATAGTGCACGTTCTGATCAAAACAAAACGTAAACAAAAACTGGAATTTGCGCTATATGTCTGTTCACCCGTAATTCACCGCTGTCACATTAGGTGCACCCACACTTATTATATATCATTTTGTTCAGGAGAAACAGGGCTTTAATTTATCATTAACTACTCATATATGGAACATAATTTATTATGAATAAAAAAAAATTAAAAAGTGAGACTCTCTAACTTTCCAAAACACCATAAAACCTGTACATGGGGGGTACTGTTATTCTCGGGAGACTTCACTAAACACAAATATTAGTGTTTTAAAACAGTAAAACATATTACAATAATAATATAGTCCATAAAAGTGCCATTCGTTTGTAAGAAATGCAAACAACGTCACTTTTACTTAAAATATCATCGTTGTAATACAATTTATCATTTTGAAACACTAATATTTGAGTTCAGCGAAGTTTACCGAGTAAAACAGTACCCCCTATATACAGGTTTTATGGTGTCTTGGAGAGTTACAGGGTCAAATATAGTGCTTGCGAATTAAATTCTCTGCACTTTCTCCCTGTGTTTCAGGCATGTCAATCAAATTTTAATTAATCAAATCACATAATTATGTTAAAAGATTACTTAAATATACACTTAGAATTTTAATATATATGCATTTATAGGTATTTAAATTCTACGTGTATACTAATGTAATCTTTTATGTAATTATATGTATTTATCTATATATATATATATTTGCGGGTATTTGTATTTTATATATAGATAGATATATATAGAATGTTATTCTAAGTGTATTTTGTTACCAATATATATATATATATTAATAACAAAATACAGTTAGAATGAAATTACATATGTATATATAATTTATATAAAATTTTGTTTCAATATTTTATTTATTTTATTATTTTATTTATTTATTATTGTAATTATATATATATATATATATATATATATATATATATATGTGTATATAGCTCTCTACTTGGATGCTATATATTGGTCAGAGATTACTTGCACCGGAGCATGGAAAAGACCGGGAACATTGAGTGCTGGGGCCTGGGAAGATAGTTATATATATATATATATATATATATATATATATATATATATAAATACTTTTAATTTATTTTAAACATGTTTAATTAATTTTATTTTTACTTTCCCACCAGCAGGGGGACTGTCTGATATTTCAGACAGTCCCCCTGCTGGCAGATCCACAGCAAGCTATAGGGGGCCATGTGATCGCTCTTTGAGAGCAATCAGATGGCCCCTGGGGGCCTCATTTGCCGGGGGAGGGCTGCCTGGGCTGTCAGGCAGCCCTCCAGAAGAGGATCGCGGTGGAGGTAAGTACCTATGCCGCCGCAACAGCTTTAAAGCCCTTTAAATGCGGGACGGCATAGAACGCCGTAACGGCGTTAAGGGGTTAAAGGACCACTATAGGCACCCAGACCACTTCAGCTTAATGAAGTGGTCTGGGTGCCAGGTCCAGCTAGGGTTAACCCTTTTTTCTATTTCAGAGAAACTGCTATGTTTATGGGGTTTCACAGTGAGAAGACGCCAGCGTCCATAGGAAAGCATTGAGAATGCTTTCCTATGGACTGGCTGAATGCGCGCGCGGCTCCTGCCACGCATGCGCATTCAGCCGAAGAGGAGGAGAGGAGGCGGAGAGCTCCACACCCGGCGCTGGAGAAAGAGGTAAGTTTAACCCTTTCCTCTCCATCCAGCCCAGCGGGAGGGGGACCCTGAGGGTGGGGGCACCATAGTGCCAGGAAAACTAGTATGTTTTCCTGGCACTATAGTGGTCCTTTAAGTGTACTCTTTATACGTTTTATCTATTTTTCTCTTTGTTACTGTTTTTATTTTATTTATTTTTTAAAAATAAAGTACTTTGACAAAAGTGTACTATTGATACTGTTTTATCTATTTTTTACTCTTTATTTTATTATTATTTATATACACTGAACAAAATTCTAAGTGCAGCACTTTTGTTACTGCCCCCATTTTTCATGAGCTAGAATTAAAGATCTAGGACTTTTTCTATGTACACAAAAGGTCTATTTCTCTCCAATATTGTTCACAAATCTGTGTAAATCTGTGTTAGTGAGCACTTCTCCTTTGCCGATAATCCATCCACCTCACAGGTGTGGCATATCAAGATGCTGATTAGATAGCATGATTATTGCACAGGTGTGCCTTATGCTGGCCACAATAAAAAGGCCACTCTAAATGTGCAGTTTTATCACACAACACAATGCCACAGATGTCGCAAGTTTTGAGGGAGCGTGCAACCACTGACCACGTGTAACCACACCAGCCCAGGAACACCACATCCAGCATCTTCACCTCCAAGACCAGCCACCCGGACAGCTGCTGCAACAATCGGTTTGCATAACCAAAGAATTTCTGCACAAATTGTCAGAAACCGTCTCACGGAAGCTCATCTGCATGCTCGTCGTCCTCATTGGGGTCTTGACCTGACTGCAGTTCGACGTCGTAACAGACTTGAGTGGGCAAATGCTCACATTCGACGGCGTCTGGCACTTTGGAGAGGTGTTCCTAGTTCTCTGGAACTGCAATGTTTTACATTGCAGCACTAAGTGCAAAAGGGTCACAGCACTTCAATTAGCTGAAGTGGTCTGAGTGCCTACAGTGTCCCTTTAAGATGAGCCATCCGTCCTCTAGTTCCAGCCCTGCTCATCTCTGCTCAAGCAGGTCAGACGCTATGGTTTTTATTTTGTATCTTTCTATATACATACCTACGGAGAGATACTGACAACACCTATTTCCTTGAGAGATTATCATACCACTTCCCGCGCTATTTTTGGAGCAAATCTTAGGGCTGCACTGCATGTGAGTGCATATTTTATATTTATACCTACCCCTGCTTCAAAGCTCAATGTACTAAACAATACTACGATTTTGATCTGTTATGTTTATGAGAATGTAAGCTAATGGAGCAGGGCCCTCCACCCCTCTGTTCCTGTACGTCCAGTTGTCTGGTTACAATTACATGTCTGTTAGTCCACCCATTGTACAGCGCTACAGAATCTGAAGGCGCTATATAAATAATAATAATAATAATAATAATAATAATGAGGATACCTTCCACAACTACGACCACATAGCATCTGCACTGCACTATATCCTTAGGTGGGAATCATTCGCCCAGGCACATAAGTTGGAGCTACATTGAAGCTCCATAAAAGCGTGTCTGCGCATTTTATCTTATTTATACCAACAACAGTTTTAATATATTACACTATTAGTTTCTTCTGTTCTTTTTCCTTGTCGTTGCATATATCCAAATAAGAACTATTTAGGCTCAGCACCTACCCCGTTTTATCAATGATTTATATTCTACCTCTTGAGAGGTTGAGGGCCTCTACTACAAAGTACCGGAGGAGCATTTGTTCCTATACCTTTTTCCCTGAGAGTGCCACATCATTTCAACTTCTGGATTAAAGGAACACTAGACACACTCCTATCTTGCTGAAATGCTTTATATGTGAAGAGTGTGCAAATTTCAATAAAAATTGTCGCTTTTATAAATTAACCTTGTTACCCTCCCCCCCACCTGTCAATCAGATAATTGGTCCTGTTACTTCCTGGTTTTATAAGCTCAGCTGAACTGAACTCAAGAGGCACCAATGGCCCAAAGTAACGGCCTTCCAAATACTTCTCATTTAGCTGCATTAAAGGGACACTATAGTCACCCAGACCACTTAAGCTCAATGAAGAGGTCTGGGTGACAGGTCCCTCAGGTTTTAACCCTTCAGATGCAAACATAGCCGTTTCAGAGAAACGGCTATGTTTACATTTGGGGTTAATCCAGCCTCTAGTGGCTGTCTTCCGGACAGCCACTAGAGGCGCATCTGTGACGCTGGAGGCACATTTCGCCTCCATCACACAGAGCGTCCATAGGAAAGCATTGAGAAATGCTTTCCTATGGACACTTTGAATGCGCATTCGGCTCCGCTGACGTCAGACGGGGGAGCTGACGTCGCGGGGGAGGAGTGGTCACCAGCGCCGAGGGAGCCCGGCGCTGGATTAAGGTAAGTGGCTGAAGGGGTTTTCGCCATGGGAAGGGGTCCCTGAGGGTGGGGGCATCCTCAGGGCACTATAGTGTCAGGAAAAACGCTTTGTTTTCCATGACACTATAGTGATCCTTTAAGAGTATGTGATTAGACAGCCACAGAAGGTCTGGGCAGGGTAAGAAGGGGATGGATTGTAAAGGGTGCAGACAAGAGATCGGCATCATTTCCAGGCTGTGTTTAGATATAAACCAAGTGAAAATAATAGATAAGTAAATACTACATTATTATTTGGGGGTATATCTACAAAACACTGACTTGGTTATTTGGTAGTGGCGAGTCCCCTTCAAATCCCTGCATTGCCAGCACACATACACCCCAACAGCTTGGGCTCTATTATCAATAACCCCAGGAGCTTGCACTCTATAACGGTAACATTGACCAAGGAGCTTGCACTCTATTAACTCTAACACTGACCCAGGAGCTTGCACTTTATAACCCCAACACTGATCCCAGGAGCTTGCACTCTATTAACACTACCACTGCCAGTATACACTGACCCCAGGAACTTGCACTCTATTAACCCTAACAGTGCCAGCACACACTGACACCGGGAGCTTGCACTCTATTAACCCTAACAGTGCCAGCATACACTGACCCGGGGAGCTTGCACTCTATTAACACTGCCAGTATACACTGACCCCAGGAGCTTGCACTCTATTAACACTAACCCTGCCAGTACACACTGACCCCAGGAGCTTGCACTCTATTAACACTGTCAGTACACACTGACCCCAGGAGCTTGCACTCCATTAACACTGCCAATATACACTGACCCCAGGAGGTTGCACTCTATTAACACTGTCAGTACACACTGACCCCAGGAGTTTGCACTCCATTAACACTGCCAATATACACTGACCCCAGGAGCTTGCACTCTATTAACACTGTCAGTACACACTGACCTCCAGGAGCTTGCACTCCATTAACACTGCCAATATACACTGACCCCAGGACCTTGCACTCCATTAACACTGCCAATATACACTGACCCCAGGAGCTTGCACTCTATTAACACTGTCAGTACACACTGACCCCAGGAGTTTGCACTCCATTAACACTGCCAATATACACTGACCCCAGGAGCTTGCACTCTATCAACACTGTCAGTACACACTGACCTCCAGGAGCTTGCACTCCATTAACACTGCCAATATACACTGACCCCAGGAGCTTGCACTCCATTAACACTGCCAATATACACTGACCCCAGGAGCTTGCACTCCATTAACACTGCCAATATACACTGACCCCAGGAGCTTGCACTCTATTAACACTGTCAGTACACACTGACCCCAGGAGCTTGCACTCTATTAACACTGCCAGTATACACTGACTCCAGGAGCTTGCACTCTGTTAACACTGCTAGCATACACTGACCCCAGGAGCTTGCACTATATTAACCCTAACAGTGCCAGCATACACTGACCCCAGGAGCTTGCACTCTATTAACACTGCCAGCATACACTGACCCCAGGAGCTTGCACTCTATTAACCCTAACAGTACTAGCATACACTGACCCCAGGAGCTTGTACTCTATTAACCCTAACAGTGCCAGCATACACTGACCCCAGGAGCTTGCACTCTATTAACAGTGCCAGCATACACTGACCCCAGGAGCTTGCACTCCATTAACCCTGTCAGTACACACTGACCCCAGGAGCTTGCACTCTATCACAGTCATTAACCCATTCAGTGATGAAGTGACGTCACAGCTCACCTAGCTTTGCAGCCGCGAGCGAGGAAGTAACAAGCCACGCCCCTCCGCCAGGCCACACCCCGTCACGTGATCCAAAACCAAAACACAGGAAGGCTGTCAGCGCGAGGCGGTGGGGGGGCCGCGGGGTCACGGGGTCCGTCACCAGATTCACTCCACCGACCCGGGCTCAGTGACGGCCCCGCACAGGCTCCGCCCACCCGAAACACCGGCCACGGGGAGCCACGGAATCCCAGCACCCCCCGCGCCTCACTCCACAATCCGCGCACCTGCGCACTACCGGCCCCGCCCACTCCGTGACGTCAACCGGGTTTCGCGGGCTTTTTGCTGATTGGTCAAAATCATTAAACACCACAAACCATCAGCACAGTCAGCTTCCAGTGTGATAAACCACATATCATATATATACCTCAGCTCCCTGTGTAATAAATCACATATCATATATACCTCAGCTCTCTGTGTAATAAATCACATATCATATATACCTCAGCTCTCTGTGTAATAAATAACATATCATATATACCTCAGCTCTCTGTGTAATAAATCACATATCATATATACCTCAGCTCTCTGTGTAATAAATCACATATCATATATACCTCAGCAATCTGTGTAATAACATATCATATATATACCTCAGCTCCCTGTGTAATAAATCACATATCATATATACCTCAGCTCTCTGTGTAATGACATATCATATATATACCTCAGCTCCCTGTGTAATAAATCACATATCATATATATACCTCAGCTCCCTGTGTAATAAATCACATATCATATATACCTCAGCAATCTGTGTAATAACATATCATATATATACCTCAGCTCCCTGTGTAATAAATCACATATCATATATACCTCAGCTCTCTGTGTAATGACATATCATATATATACCTCAGCTCCCTGTGTAATAAATCACATATCATATATATACCTCAGCTCCCTGTGTAATAAATCACATATCATATATACCTCAGCAATCTGTGTAATAACATATCATATATATACCTCAGCTCCCTGTGTAATAAATCACATATCATATATATCTCAGCTCCCTGTGTAATAAATCACATATCATATATACCTCAGCAATCTGTGTAATAACATATCATATATACCTCAGCTCCTTGTGTAATAACATATCATATATATACCTCAGCTCTCTGTATAATAAATAACATATCATATATATACCTCAGCTCTCTGTGTAATAAATAACATATCATATATACCCCAGCTCCCTGTGTAATAAATAACATATCATATATATACCTCAGCTCCCAGTGTAATAAATAACATATCATATATACCCCAGCTCCCTGTGTAATAAATAACATATCATATATACCTCAGCTCCCTGTGTAATAACATATCATATATATACCTCAGCTCTCTGTGTAATAAATAACATATCATATATATACCTCAGCTCCCAGTGTAATAAATAACATATCATATATACCCCAGCTCCCTGTGTAATAAATAACATATCATATATATACCTCAGCTCTCTGTGTAATAAATCACATATCATATATATACCTCAGCTCCCTGTGTAATAAATAACATATCATATATATACCTCAGCTCTCTGTGTAATAAATAACATATCATATATACCCCAGCTCCCTGTGTAATAAATAACATATCATATATATACCTCAGCTCCCAGTGTAATAAATAACATATCATATATACCCCAGCTCCCTGTGTAATAAATAACATATCATATATACCTCAGCTCCCTGTGTAATAACATATCATATATATACCTCAGCTCTCTGTGTAATAAATAACATATCATATATATACCTCAGCTCCCAGTGTAATAAATAACATATCATATATACCCCAGCTCCCTGTGTAATAAATAACATATCATATATATACCTCAGCTCTCTGTGTAATAAATCACATATCATATATATACCTCAGCTCCCTGTGTAATAAATAACATATCATATATATACCTCAGCTCTCTGTGTAATAAATCACATATCATATATATACCTCAGCTCCCTGTGTAATAAATCACATATCATATATACCTCAGCTCTCTGTGTAATAAACCACATATCATATATATACCTCAGCTCTCTGTGTAATAAACCACATATCATATATATACCTCAGCTCTCTGTGTAATAAACCACATATCATATATATATACCTCAGCTCCCTGTGTAATAAATAACATATCATATATATACCTCAGCTCCCAGTGTGATAAACCACATATCATATATATACCTCAGCTCCCAGTGTAATAAATAACATATCATATATACCTCAGCTCCCAGTGTGATAAACCACATATCATATATATACCTCAGCTCTCTGTGTAATAACATATCATATATATACCTCAGCTCCCTGTGTAATAAATCACATATCATATATACCTCAGCAATCTGTGTAATAACATATCATATATACCTCAGCTCCCAGTGTAATAAATAACATATATATACCTCAGCTCCCAGTGTAATAAACCACATATCATATATACCTCAGCTCCCTGTGTAATAAATAACATATCATATATATACCTCAGCTCCCAGTGTGATAAACCACATATCATATATATACCTCAGCTCCCAGTGTAATAAACCACATATCATATATACCTCAGCTCCCAGTGTGATAAACCACATATCATATATATACCTCAGCTCTCTGTGTAATAACATATCATATACATACCTCAGCTCCCTGTGTAATAAATCACATATCATATATACCTCAGCAATCTGTGTAATAACATATCATATATACCTCAGCTCCCAGTGTAATAAATAACATATATATACCTCAGTTCCCAGTGTAATAAACCACATATCATATATATACCTCAGCTTCCAGTGTAATAAACCACATATCATATATACCTCAGCTCCCTGTGTAATAACATATCATATATACCTCAGCTCCCAGTGTGATAAACCACATATCATATATACCTCAGCTCTCAGTGTGATAAACCACATATCATATATACCTCAGCTCCCAGTGTGATAAATAATATATCATATATACCTCAGCTCTCTGTGTAATAACATATCATATATACCTCAGCTCCCAGTGTGATAGACCACATATTATATATACCTCAGCTCCCTGTGTAATAAATAACATATCATATATACCTCAGCTCTCTGTGTAATAACATATCATATATACCTCAGCTCCCAGTGTGATAGACCACATATTATATATACCTCAGCTCCCTGTGTAATAAATAACATATCATATATACCTCAGCTCTCTGTGTAATAACATATCATATATACCTCAGCTCCCAGTGTGATAGACCACATATTATATATACCTCAGCTCCCTGTGTAATAAATAACATATCATATATACCTCAGCTCTCTGTGTAATAACATATCATATATACCTCAGCTCCCAGTGTGATAGACCACATATTATATATACCTCAGCTCCCTGTGTAATAAATAACATATCATATATACCTCAGCTCTCTGTGTAATAAATAACATATCATATATACCTCAGCTCCCAGTGTGATAAATAACATATCATATATACCTCAGCTCCCTGTGTAATAACATATCATATATACCTCAGCTCTCTGTGTGATAAATCACATATCATATATACCTCAGCTCCCAGTGTAATAAACCACATATCATATATACCTCAGCTCCCAGTGTAATAAATAACATATCATATATACCTCAGCTCCCAGTGTGATAACATAACATATCATATATACCTCAGCTCCCAGTGTGATAAACCACATATCATATATACCTCAGCTCCCAGTGTGATAAACCACATATCATATATACCTCAGTTCCCAGTGTAATAAATCACATATCATATATACCTCAGCTCCCTGTGTAATAAATCACATATCATATATACCTCAGCTCCCAGTGTAATAAATCACATATCATATATACCTCAGCTCCCAGTGTGATAAATAACATATCATATATACCTAAGCTCCCTGTGTAATAAATAACATATCATATATACCTCAGCTCCCAGTGTAATAAATCACATATCACATATACCTCAGCTCCCAGTGTGATAAATAACATATCATATATACCTCAGCTCCCTGTGTAATAAATCACATATCATATATACCTCAGCTCCCAGTGTGATAAACCACATATCATATATACCTCAGCTCCCAGTGTAATAAATCACATATCATATATACCTCAGCTCCCTGTGTAATAAATCACATATCATATATACCTCAGCTCTCTGTGTAATAAATAACATATCATATATACCTCAGCTCCCAGTGTAATAAATAACATATCATATATACCTCAGCTCTCTGTGTAATAAATAACATATCATATATACCTCAGCTCCCAGTGTAATAAATAACATATCATATATACCTCAGCTCTCTGTGTAATAAATAACATATCATATATACCTCAGCTCCCTGTGTAATAAATAACATATCATATATACCTCAGCTCCCAGTGTAATAAATAACATATACCTCAGCTCTCTGTGTAATAAATCACATATCACATATACCTCAGCTCTCTGTGTAATAAATAACATAAACCTCACCTCTCTGTGTAATAAATCACATATACCTCAGCTCTCTGTGTAATAAATCACATATCACATATACCTCAGCTCTCTGTGTAATAAATAACATATACCTCAGCTTTCTGTGTAATAAATAACATATACCTCAGCTCTCTGTGCAATAAATCATATATACCTCAGCTCTCTGTGTAATATATAACATATCACATATACCTCAGCTCTCTGTGTAATAAATAACATATACCTCAGCTCTCTGTGTAACAAATCATATATACCTCAGCTCTCTGTGCAATAAATAACATATCACATATACCTCAGCTCTCTGTGTAATAAATCACATATACCCCAGCTCTCTGTGTAATAAATAACATATACCTCAGCTCTCTGTGTAATAAATCACATATACCTCAGCTCTCTGTGTAATAAATCACATATACCTCAGCTCTCTGTGTAATAAATCACATATCACATATACCTCAGCTCTCTGTGTAATAAATAACATATACCTCAGCTCTCTGTGTAATAAATCATATATACCTCAGCTCTCTGTGTAATAAATAACATATCACATATACCTCTGCTCTCTGTGTAATAAATAACATATCACATATACCTCAGCTCTCTGTGTAATAACATATCATATATCATATATACCTCAGCTCTCTGTGTAATAAATCACATATCACATATACCTCAGCTCTCTGTGTAATAAATC